CCAACAAAGAAGCTGTAGCAACCGCTGGTCATGCACTTAAGCTGGATGGAAACTACACCACCTCAGTAAGTCAAGCTGTTTGCCATGGCACAGTGATCCGTTCTACTGTTTCCATTTTGTGATTCAGCCTTACATAGAGATCATCCTGGCGAACAGACCAGCTTTTGGTGATGGCATCACTGGCGTTCATGACTCTCAAGCAGCCAGACTCCAGGAGCTAGTGGATTTTGTGCAAGCACAGGTAACTATCGCTTTCCGCAGTTCTAGCGAGGTTTTGTGAAGATGGCTCTGTTGAATGGACGGTGTTGCTTTTTGTTAGGACGAAGCCATTCATTATTTCGCATTGCAGGGTGGAAATCCCAGCTCGGAAACACTGGCGAGTCCAGCATTATCTGTTGAGGGCGTGCTGGATGGTTTCGACGCCAGATTGAAGAGGCTTGAGAGATGGCAAATCATAAACACGGTAGACTCTACGAGTTTCTATGCATGAAAGAGCTGAATTGTACTCTGCTGCGCAGGTTCTCTGGACATTTTTCGTGTCAGCGTTCATTGGCTACGTACTTTACCAACGATCGGCCAGGCGCCCAAGCAGATAAGATTCATTTTCTTCTTTGCTGAGGAGGTAAAAGAACGGAAACTCTGTAAGTTCTCGCATTTGGAACACGCAGCAACCAATGGCAGCATGTTTTCAAAACTTCACTGTTTAAGCTTAGTAGCGCTAGTGCCGCCCGAGGGAGTACATCGAGCTCAACTGGAAGTCGTAGCAGCAAGCTATCAAAGTCGGGCAAGGTAGCTTGTGTTTACATTGTTGCATTTACTTACTATTATAGATCAAGGAACACAGCGTTGATCAGGACTTTGTCCAGAAATTCCAGCGCGGTCACAGCGATTCTTGGTGGACACGGCGAGTGGAAGCACTTGGAGGAGTGTAACGATGTTTGTGAGCGTCGACTGGAGCCACTGAGGACTTTGAGGAATGTGTGCTCAATCGCGCTACGAGCCGATTTGAATGCGTGAGATTATTCTCTAGTTTATTCTCTTTGAGCGGTTATGATCTGTCGTTTTGAATGGTTAGGATTTGTCTTGTCAATGAAGAACCCTATGGCGGATCCACTGAGGGACTTGTGGAATTTGCGAGAAGCGCCAGCTCGCTGTAAAGCTGGGCATGCTGAAGAGTCCCTCTGTGTTCTTCGTGGCTCCCACGCCGGAGGAGAAAGCGGACGTGCTCAGGAGCTTTCTCAAAGGTATTTTTACACTCGCGGGCCTTTGACGCTCGGCATGCTCTCTCTCCAGAGTGTGCGCCTCGATCGAATTGCCGATGAGGATTCCATGGATGTCACGTACAAGACTCTCGCCGAGTTTTGCAAACCAACGGTCCCCGAGCTCCAAGGCTTGAAAGAGTTTCTCCTCAAGAAGCCCGATGGTTGCACAATTCGCGTGAGTCCCAGGACATACAAGCGGGTCCGTGATTACGATTTGCAGGGCCTCTTCGAGCCTTCGAATGGAGATCGCTGCTTCGCGCTCGAGGAGCATCTCGCCGGCTGTGTACTCCAACCAGAAACAGGTCTGTCTACATACAGATTCTCTCTTTCACTGACACGGTGTTCTTGTGCTCGTTCCAGGTGCTTCAAGGCTCTCGTTCGTTCATGCCTGGGACAACCTGATCAACAAGTCTTTGCGACTGTTCTTGAGCGTGAGCTTCACCAAGGACCGTAATACGAATGCTGCAATTCCCCCGCTTGTTGGATATGTGGGTGATCGCTGGTCGCTCTGGACAGGCGAAGAGGGAGGGGCTGGCAGCAGTAGTCAGCTCTTTTACAAGCGGAAGTGGTACTACAAGACAATCCCTTACATTCTCGGCTACCACGCAAGCGGCCTCGCAGTGACGCTGGTTGCGCTTTATAATAGTCGTGGGGATGGTCGTGGAGAGGCCTCGAGCATGGCTTTGGCAAACTTCAACTTGCACGACCTTGATGAAAGGATCAGACTGTTCATGGTTATGCTCAACATCGCTCGCGTGCTGGGAGGTTTGCACGAGATTTGTGTGAAGAACAACGAGGGGAGCGAGTTTGAGCTTGTGAAAGCCATAACGACCGGGAAATCGGTGACGCTGGCCGGAGATCTGGTTGTTAAAGGCTACCAGACGGAGGAGAAGAGGATGAAAGTTTGGAAGGTATACTCCGCTCTCCGGGGCTGCCCAAACATGGAGAAGTGCTTGAGCGGGAAGCCAGCATACCAAAAGATCAAGAGGAGGGCGACCGGCGAGTACACGCTCAGGTTCTCTCCTCGCCTAAGCAGGACTGCTCGGGCGACAACGCAGGAATCACTTGTGAGAGCTCTCCTCGACGTCGCTGGAGCTCTGGCGTGGCTCCGGCGAAAGGGATGGATCCACAGGGATGTCCACTGGGGGAACGTGGCGTGGGACGAGGCAACCGGGGCGTGGACGCTGATCGACGCGGAGGAGGCGTGCACGGTTGAGCAGGCGGCACGAGCGGCGCATCCGTTGAACTCGCAGAGCCACGCGCCTGAGATGCTATCAGGTTGCCATGGTACTGCAGTCGACGTCTGGGGTTTGGGCTATCTCATCAGGACCGGCAGTGACGCGACTGTTGCGAGTAAGCTCGTGGATGATACCCTCTGGGAGCTCTCGGAGAAGTGTATGGCCATGGATCCCGCGGAGAGGCCGAGCATAGCCCAGTGCCAAAGCAAGCTCGAAAGTTGTCTGGAGACGATATTGTCAGATGAGTGTATGAATGTGTATAAACGGGCAAGACTAGTGGAGAGTAGTAATTCATTATTTAAAACCATGCAACCACGTTGGGTGGCGCAGTAATCTAGATTTTAGTGAATGTAAACACATAATAATGTAGATTAAAACCCATGCAACCACGTCAACAGGGTGGCGTGCAAACTCATTCATACTGTTTCTTGCCGGCTTCTTGGTCAAAGTAAACTTCAAGCATGAACTTGCACAGGGGTCAAGGAGCACGCGTTAATTAACGAGAGGACGCTCCTCCGTATAAATTCCAAGCCTTGGGCTCCAAGCATAACGATCATCATATAAGTATCTACAATCAAGCTGTGGGCGATGTCGATCAAAATGATGATCCTGGTGGTGCTCGTCTCCAGCGGGCTCCGTGGCCTGGATGCTGGCACCGTCTTGTTCAGGGACGCCGAGCTGTCGAGCGGGTGTGGGACGATGACATGCCCGATCCCGGCGTGCGTGATTCTGGTGACCAAGGTCCACGGCTGCACGGGGGGCCAGACGGTCTCGGTGAACTGCGGAGAGTGGAGGCATTTCGAGGAGTTTAACAAAGTTTGCCAGGGAGGGGCGCTGAGCATCGACTGGGGAATCAAGCCGCTCAGGATCCAATTCAGGAACAGCGCCGGGGACTTTGAAGAGTGTTTGCTCAAGAGTGGTTTCAATGGTGCCAAGTTTGGGTGTAACATGGGCTAAAACTTTGCCACGCTCATGGTATCCAAATGACAAATAATCTATGTATGAATCGTATATAGTTCATTTAGATTACTTGGAATCATGGTCAGGATCGCTAAGCGGTTCCTTCATCAAGATGAGGCCGACCGGCGAGTACACGCTCATCTTCTCTCCAGGCGACAATTCATGAATCACTCGTGATGCTCTCCTCACGTCGCTGGAGCTCTTGATCCACAGACGGAACGTGGCGTGGGAGGCAGCCTGGGCGACGCGGAGGAGGAACGTGCACGGGGGCGCGTGGCTCTGCGAGTTCAAGGGATGCGCTCCTGCTTGGGATGCTACCGGGTTGCCACGGTACTGCAATCTCATCAGGACCTCCAGTGATGTAAGTGTCGCGAGGATACCCCCTGGGAGCTCTCGGATGGATCTCGCGGAGAATAGCCCAGTGCCATAGCCTCGAAAGTTGGCTGGAGACGATATTATCAGATGTATGCTTAGCTGGAGTAACTTAATTCGTGATTTTAAACCATGCAACCAGCAGTAATTCATTGATGTCGATTAAACCCATGCAATTACCGTATATTCATGCAACCAATTCCCAGAAATGCAACCATGAGCTAGATTAAAGCCCATGCTGTCGTAAGAATTTATAGAAATGCAAAAACGTCGTAATCTAGATTTTAGAAACTGTTTCTATAAGGCGGTTGCCGGAGTCAAAGTAAACTTTCAAGCATGAACTTGCACAGGGGTCAAAGGAACACGCGTTAAGTAATGCCTCTTCAGATAAGTATCTACCAATCAAGATGTGGGCGATGCCGATCAAAATACTGATCCTGGTGCTGCTCGTGTCTGCCGAGCTATCCAGCGGGTGTGGGAGAATGACGTGCCCGATCCCAGCGTGCGTGATTTTGGTGAACAAGGCCCACGGCTGCAAGGGGCCCTGTCGGTGAACTGTGGCGATTCCAGGAGTTTAGCAGGGCGGGCGCTGAAGCATATAATGATCTTACCACAATCATTTGAATCCCTGATAAAGAATATTCTTTTCTTATGTAAATCTAAACGTGTATGATGTTCTATTACTTGGAATTCACAATACGTTACTTTGGCCTGACAACGAACCAAAACTAAACAACTTGCTCTCGCATAAAATTTAAAACCCGGCATAATGAATGATAACCTTGCGCCAAGATTTCTTCGGCAGCGATCCACCCAGTTGAATCTGCCAATGTAAATGTGGATGCTTTGACACACAGCGATTAGGTATAGACTAAACTACATTAAAGACCGCAGTAATCTAGATTTAAAACGCAGTAATTTCTCATGCAACCACGTTGCAAACTATTCTGTCTTTCCGGTCCCGAGTGAAAGTAGAATTTCAAAGTCAAGCATTCATATCCGCGAACTTGCGCAGAGGCCAAGGAGCACACGCGTTATGTAACGTTAGGATGCTCCTGCGTATAAGTTCCAAGCCTTGGCTCCAACCGGGAAGCATAACGAGCATCATATATCAAGATGTGCGGGATGTCGATCAAAATGGCCTGGTGGTGCTCGTCGCCATGGGGCTGCGCGGCCTGGATGCTGGCACCGTCTTGTTCAGGGACGCCGAGCTGTCGAGCGGGTGTGGGAGGATGACGTGCCCGATCCCGGCGTGCGTGATTCGGGTGGACAGCGTCCACGGCTGCACGGGAGGGCAGACGGTCTCAGTGAACTGCGGCCAGTGGAGGCACTTCCAGGAGTTTAACGATGTTTGCCAGGGCGGGGCGCTGAGCATCGACTGGGGGATCGAGCCGCTCAGGCTCCAATTCAGGAACAGCGCCGGGGACTTTGAGGAGTGCTTGCTCCAGCAAGATTTCAATGGCGCCGAGTATGGATGTAACATGGGCTAGGACTTTATAGCCACTAGAACCAAGGACTATACAGCTTGTGCAGTATGAAATCTCTGCTTGTTTTCTGTCTAATATCATAGTATCACAAATATTAATCTGATAATCTTAAATTGACTACATGACCATCATGGTGTGAGGAATTCACAAAAAAGTTTGCGTCTGATACTTTGGTTTTTGCTAGAGGATCGGTTGGAGCTTCCAGATTAGTGCGCAGTGTGATCGATTGCATTGATAGGCAAAATCTGGTGTCCAGTATAAAAATGTACAAGGAGAGACGAGGAGGTCTCCCTTCGTCTCATACTTTATAATGCGCTCTCCAGGAGCTCCATCTCGGGCGTTTTGTATCTGCAAACCTTTCGCGCGTGAGATTATCTATCATCGCGCTGTCTAAGCGTACCTTTTCCTGGCGGAAGATTCACTTTCCAAGCTCTACGCAAGCACAAAGAAGACTCAAAGAGTGAGAAATCGCATGGATAGAATTACCTCTGGAAGTAAGTCCTTGCGGGTGATTACACCGAGTATCCTAGAAGGCCGGGGTACAACACAGACGTGACGAAGTCCCAGCTGTCGAAACAGGTTGTAGACCTGGAAAGCAAAGAGTCTGAGGATTCACGGCGGTGGCTAGTGTCGAGAATTTACCTTCGTGAGGGACATGTCCTCGGAAACTATGTAAGGCGAGGGATTTACAAACGGTTGTAAATCCAAATACATCTCCATTTCTACCGCTGTGAGATTGACGTCGAATATTGACAGACCCTTGCTAGACACGGGCTTTACAAAATCTGTGACGCTATACCTGCCAGTATCAAGAAAAACTTTAGTGGAAGGTATGCTGAAAGAATGCTTACTTGTTTTTGGTACGATTTTCATGTCCGGGAGTCGGACCGTGTTGAAAATCTGCTTTAGTTTGCAACACCACCAACAAGTGGCTGCAAACGAGCATTATAGCCACGCAAAAGTATCTACATGCAACTTACCTCCGCAGTACGAGGCCAATAACTGCCGTTTCCCCGTTTTGAAGTTGCTCTATTACCTGCAAATGAAAGTCAGCAACGCACTGGTCGATTCGAAATATTACATACCGGAAATCCATTGTGACTGACGCTACGTAAAACTGAAACAATAGAGCCCACTTTTGAAACTCGAGGGAAACTGACGACCTGCAAGACGACGTTAAGACAAGAGCTAAGACAGCTCAGATTTACCTTGCTAGTGTGAAGAGCATCCTTGGCAGACAGTTTTCTCAGAAATCGTTTGGGGCGAGATTCAAGAAGGGGTATTTGTCGTAGATACGCTTGTTGCTCATAAAATCCCATATTAAAGGCATCTCCAACAGCCTGTAGAATGAATGAGATACATTAAGTTTCCATTGTCCTTTTACCTTTGATATAAGCAGCACAAGCATTATCAATGGCAGGAGCTGCAGGTTGTTTGTGATCTCTACCATGATCACACACAACGATACAGTCATCCGCATGGAACCACCAAGAAAAGAAGCTGCTCCCAACAAAGCATATCTGCATGGAAAACGAAAGCAGAAAGGATATGAGTGGAAAAAACTAAATAGCTCACGTTCCCTCGTCAATTCCGTCTTTCTTATACAGATTGACTACAAGCATTCCCACAAGGCGTCCATAAGTAGCTCCTATCATTATTCCGGGAACGAATTGGCCGGCAGGAACAGCTGTTCCGTAAGTTATAGTAGCAAGAAAGAAGAACAAAGCCTAAAATGCAAGAAGTTAGCATTCTTTCCGTGCCACTAAAGAGACTCTTACCAGGAACGTAAGTAAACTACGGGCACTGTACTCGTGAACAGTCTTCGTACTAAACAGGTTGCGAATGGCATCGTCCTAAAAATTAATCCTCAATAAGAGCAGACAATATAAGGAAAAGAATAATAGAAAGGAAAACTTACGGGAGTATTGAAAAAAATCGTTGCAAGATCATTGTATTGGGAATCTTTAGGACAGTTAAACTAGAAAGAAAATGGATTAGACTTGAAACAGAACGGGCTTGGAACTTACAAGAACATAATTTCCATAATGTTGCTGAGGTCGAGGGCAAACAATGTCCGGATATTTAACAGGATCGGGGCATGGAGTGCACTTGTTCAGCAGAGGTATACCAAAGGACAGCACAGACGTAATCAAAGACACCACGCAGACCTCAATAATCTGCACAAAAGTTTATTCATGTAAGATTCTCTCAAATGTTGTCGGTACCTTCACACGATTTCCTCTCTTGTGTAGCACATTCCGACGATATGAAGAAAGCATATAAGTTAGTTGATTGAAGAGTGCGCCTGTAAGGGAACGTCATAAGCTACACGGGGGCGATCTTTCTTACCTAGCAATCCTCCTATAACGCCAAGTAGTGCCATTGGCCAGAGTTCGTAAAATGAGTAATCTTCTTGACCACTACGGACTACTGTGAGCTTTGATCTGGAAAAGTAAAAAGCAGCTTACCCAGATGTATCCCATATAATAAAGCCACCAGAGCCAAAATGACCACAATTTCCATGAGTACACCATCCCATTGCAGTTCGAACCATAACAGCAACTATAGCAGAGGTAAAAAAGACGCGCCAAAGCAATTGACTCCGCCACCTGAATCCCGATGGTTTGAAATAAGACACAAGAAAAAAAAGCTTTTCAAGCGTACCATGACGTAACTTCTTCAAGAGCGAAAAGCACTCCTCCTACTGGAGCTCTAAATGCTGCAGATACACCAGCAGCACATCCACACGTCACCTAAGCAAGGCTCCCAAGTTGAGAAAAACGATTGAATGCTTTTTAACACTTACAAGATCACGTCTGTCCCGATCGTTCTTAAACATTCTGATCCATCTCGAGTTGAGATAATATTTGGTAGAGCCTCCCTGTTCATTAGTCATCACTGTTAGAAGATCCTCACCTTAGCTAAGTATCGAGTGAAGTTTACCTGTCCGATCAGTGAGGCAATGCAAGCACCCGTGTGCACGAGAGGCCCCTCTTTACCCAGAGCTAATCCTCCCCCAACAGAACCAATGCTTCCAAGTATCTGCAATGAGAAAAACCTTGAAAAATCTATACAAACGACGCCAAAGAACTTACTTTTCCGACAAGAGTTCGGAACAAAAGAATTCCTGGCGTATCTATGCCTGAAGACCACCGCATTAGCAGACTCGTTAACCATCGACTAGCTACAAGACTTACCTACCGTTTAGATATCCTTTTAGTTCTGGAATGCCAGATCCAGCCGCAGCTGGAGCAAAGCTTGTGACAATGTACACGGAGGAGAAGACCAACGCAACGTTGAACAAGGCATAGATGACAAAGCCTGCAAGATAGGAATGCCTCATTATCGCAAATGTAGCGAGGAACTTCCACCCCGAGAAATTCTCTACAGCGACATTGATCGCGAAAGCTGAGAGGCCAGTCCCTGGTTGCATCGATTCCATCAAAATCCGGACAAGTCGAGCAACTTCCACTCACCTACACCGATAAATAGAGCAAACAGCCACTTCAATGTCACATACGATCCCAGCTGCCACCAGCCCTTCATCGCCTGCCACGATCCAGCCGACAGATCTGTGAGACAAATGGGAAGCAATTTCGAACAGATCTCACCTGATCGTCACGGTATGCGACGCTCTCAATGACCTCGTAATCCAAGCTCTCGACGACGCTGGAAGCTTCATTCGCGGCATTCCACTCGTCGGCTGCCACAGCTCCAGCAGCATCGTCGGAGAGAGGCGAATCGGTGGTGAGGAGGCGCGACCACATGAGGCCTGTAGCGCCTTCGCCAGACTCCACATCCATGAGCGAAGCAGAGTGCGTCCGCAAAAACCCTAGCTCGCCCTGGACAGAGTCCACAGTGAAAGAGCGCTTTCCTTTCTCTGTAGTCTTGTGGACGGTCCAGATGCAAGATCAAGTGAAATGAAATAGACTTGTTTACAAAAATAGTGCTGTGATTTCTCCTTGCCATCACAGAAAGTCATATTGATAGATAATTATAAATACTTCTATTACTTTGAAGAAACTCAACCCCCCAAACCTAAAACATTCCAGTCAAGTGGGAGTCAAATGTGAGTTAAGTGGGAATACTAATTTGGATTGAAAATTTGTGACTCCACGACTTTGTAACCATAACAATATCACTCCACCATACACATGATTATGTGTGGCTTTATAGGCATGGGATAGGGATCAATTACAGTGCGTCTGCATATTATTGCCATGTATCAGCAATGCCAGGGTGATTGGTGAGACTGTCAGCGTCATGGAGGAGAGTGGGGGTGCAATGGAGGAAGCCCTATATGCAGCCAAGATGCTAATACACGAGGAGATTCCTTCAAGAGCATAGGTTGGAAGGGAATGTAATTCTATAGCAAATTCTTCAATAATGGGAAAACTTTATAATATGGGGATGTCGATGGGGAGTTCTGGGAGAAGTTCCATTAACTCACATTTATCCCAAGATCCTAAGTGAAGATCCCATTGCATTCATTAAGAGCCACATTCATCTACTATTATGTGTATGTTTTTCTTAAGCTATACATTTACTACAAAATGACATTATTCAATTTTATTGACATGTTTCCTGGAATCTGATCTCATGAGTCATTTGTTTGCTGCGCTCCTCCAGGTCTTCTGCCACCACGGCTTCTGTCACCACCCTCGGCTTCACCGACCTGCCTGTAGAAATACATTGGCTTTGTGCTTGCCACTGATGTGATGCACTCCTCTACTCCAGTTTCATAGGAGTTGTCGACCAATGGTGTCTTCTAGGGATTTATATTTCTCTATGTGCTCAATCCATACCCCTTTATAGTAGAGTTTGCTCATTGTGTCTAGGCCAAAAACCATTGCCTTTGTCTTACTCATGTTGACAACAAGGCCCATGGAGTTGCAGAATTGTGCCAAGGCATCTAGTTGGCATTGAATTTCCAGCCACAAGGTGGCCAATAGAAGGAGGTTGTCTGCATATATGAGCAGCTGCAAAATCATCCCAGCAAGCAAGATTGAGGAGGGGGTATGCAGCATTTTCAGCCCATCAATGAATAGGCCAAAAAGAGTGGGTGACAAGGTGCAACTTTGTCAGACACCTGTGTCACAGTCAATCTGAGTATGCTGTAGAATGTCCACTTTCACGTTTTCATAAAGCCTCTGAATGAGCTCCAGTGGGACGTTTTGCTCATGAAGTCATGCAAACAGTCTCCTTCTTGATACCTTGTCAAAGGCTTTCACTATGTCAACATCGCATGCATAAACTGTGGTTCATGGATGTGCATGCAGCTTGTCAGGGATACCCACAGCGTCACCAAGTGGTCAATGCAGCTATAATGTGGTTGGAACCTGGCCTGCCCTCTTGCTCTGCATCCTTTGTCTTCCATCCAGCTCACGAGACGCTGCTCCACCACTTTGGCCAGAAGCTTCACAAAGATCGTTGAGATCATTATAGTACGATAGTTGGAGGTTAGTGCTGAATCTCCTGCCTTGTAAATTGGTACAACTCTGTTGATGTTCCAGGTTTGTGGAAAACCATGCTGGATGATTTCGTGGAAAAGTTGGCAAAGGATGGGGGCCAACCAAGTGGGGTCAAGAGCTTGCAATAACTCGGCTGTGAATCCATAGACATCAGCAGCCTTCTTGCGTGGGAGAGACTGAATCGCTGCCTTCATCTGTTCAGTGGTAATTTGGAGCGTCGCTTCTCACTGGAAATGTTCAAACTCCAAGCTTCCTACCTCATACAGTTGGCGAATATGTTGAACTGATCACTGCTTACGGAAAATACGATAAGCTTTGGAAGGTTTATGCCTCACTTCCCAGGCCTGTTATGCATTAAAATATTTAGCGTGAAAGCGAGCTCGTGCCCTGGCCGAAATCTCGACATAGAGATTGTGCTGTCGGGTGTCCCCTTCGTCTGGCTTGCTTGTATGCCCTGTGAAGCCGATGGCACTCCTCGTTCCAGGTTTGCCTGGTAAGCCGTGCTACTGACGTGGTTTGCAGTGCCGCAATGGTTCTGTGGCTTCCAGGAAATCCGCCCGGAAACCTATCTGGATGCCATGCTGTCCTTGTCTCTAGAGTTCTTCCACCGTGTGCTGCAGAGCAAGTGCATCAATGGGGCACAGTCGATAGATCACTGGTGCCTGTCTTGACCATCCGATTTTGAACTTTTCCCTTGGCATGACACTGGATTTCAAAAGCCCTCTTTTGTGCGGGAATATTTTTCCAGATTGTATTGGCTCAGCCTTCAATGCCAAGGGATCTGTGCCCCTTTCAACTTGATGCGCCTGGATATGCAATGCCCAAATTGTCGAGGAGGGCCGCCAGCACGAGGAGTTCCCCTTTATGGATCTGCTGTCAAGTGATTAGGAGTATGATGTCTAATGGCAGCCTATCACGAGGTGGTAACAAAGAGAAGAAACATCTCTTTTTACTTTTGTAGTTCATACATTCAATCTGTGGTGTCCATACCCAAGCTTTCTCAACTTGGAGAAAGTGTCAGGATTGATTATAACTTGGTTCTTTTGAAATTGCCTTTAGTAGGACGATGTCGTTTTTTAGTGACGAAGACAACTTTTTTGCAGGTTCAAATCCCAACGTTGTTGTAAACTTATGGAGAGAACCATCCTGGGTGTCACTGCCACAGCCTACGAGCGGAGCGTGCCATGGCAGTCAGGGAGCTTTGTCCCAGGGCTGTAATCTGCGAGCGGCTCACAGCCATGAGCCATGGCTGAGAAAGCGCTATGAACACAAAGCAAACTCTTGATAAAGGTCCTGCTGTTCGTGTTAGTTGGGGCCGGTCAGCACTCCAATTGCACTCAGTCAATTCAGTCTATTCTCCACTATGCCAACCAAGGGTCCTTGGGGTGTAGATCTACATGTAATTCTCATAGTTGAACGTTGGGACATTTGCGAGACAATGTGGGACAAGTTTGAAGTAATTAATAAGCATTTTATCTCAGCAAAATTTAGGGTGTACAAAGCTTTATTGTAGTGCATTTGAATTTAAAGCTAAACTTTAATCCCATTGTATTATAAAATAAAAGTTTAATATGCACTTAATATCCTCCAACTCCCTAAATCCATATTTTATATGCAAAATAGTGTTAAATAGTGTTTAGCATAACTTTGGCATACTGGTGGTCTGATACAAAGAGAAGGGTACCCCACTAACTAGAGTAACATAGAGTTTGGGTTTAGAAGTAAGTTGAATGCAAAATAAAGAGCAACACAGCTTAATAGGAGCTAAATTAATATATTAGATGGTCAACCATACAATTCAACCACCATCCCTACTATATATTTGAAACGAATATATACTTTAGGCTGAACACTCTTTACATTCTATAGATATACTTTTTGAGCAGATTTAGATTTAGAATGGACTAATATATATGGAACATAATAGCGAATGTGTTTGGTGGACATGGTAAGCTATTATGTAGCGATATTAAAGGACTATGCTCAATATTATAGGGGTTCTTTAATACTAGTAAATACAAGTTTACAATTGAGTTTTTCTAACCAAATCAAGTATGCTTAATTAATTTTGATACCCATCTAATCAAATGCACATGCAATGACTAGTTTCTTAACTATCTTGGGTGGAGACCATAAAAAAAATTAAGAATACCAACCTCCTATCATCATGGTAATAAAGAGAGAGTGTTCATAAAGACTGGCTAACAAATATCTTTCAATATCTGAAGTTATATTGGTTTTGGAGACAGACTTACTCCTAATAGAGATTCTTGCTTAGAGATGTATCATATATGTGCAAAGTGCATACTTTCTCTACAGGTAGAAACTTGTAGATATAGCTATTGCTGAATCACAATATATGGCCCAAGCTCTTGGAAAAGGGTGGCACACTCTCAAAGTATGGACAGCCACCCTCAGCCATGACCTCTTCATATTAATGATGGAATTAATTAAACAATTGGAGTTTTGGACCTAGCAATGTCTCCAACATTGGTGTGATGCTCAAATGAAGGATAGTGCCCTTTTTGGAATTTATATAAACACCATTGACCCAAGGTGCCATTTCAGTTTCACAATCTATAATAACCTCACTCTCAAAGTCGCCCTGCAATTAGAGAATCCTAAAATAGGGTGTCACAGATTGATAATGGAACTCAGATGTCATTTGAAATTGCTACTCTCATATGATATATGCCTCTACCCCATATGTTACAAAGAAGTTGAAGAAGTGGAGCATGTGGTCAACCATCTCAAGGCTAGTCAATTGACTGACCATATAAATAGTCCTTAATACTACCATTTGACAGGTGGTAATATGGCTCAAGATAATCAACCAGCTTCCTGAAAGAAGACTCTGCTGAGCCTCCGAGAGTTAGCAGATAAATCTGCAAAGGACGAGCAACATAAATTCAGCAAGTAGTTGTCAAAAAAGACCGAAGTTCTTACAATTGATTTGGCTGTGGTCTTTGATAACGACACGTTTATTCCGGGAGGAAAACTATGGATGGACCAGTTAATTGGGGGATGTGCACTAGACCGTCCAACAAGTACCTGAAACCTTTGGCTATTAGAAAACGAACAAAAGAACTTGCAACTCAATTAAGATGGTTGTTTTTATTGATTGTTATAAATTAATAATAGTTCTTGCAATCTCACTTCAGATTAAATTTTAAAGGACTTCTTTTAATGTTATTTTGGATCTATAAAAGTGTTGGCTATATACAATCAGCTGTGCGCAAGGTGCTCAAAATGAATGTGGAGCTTAAGCTACATTGGATGTAGCTCTTTGGCCCAGTTCTAGTAAAACAGGGGAAACCATTTTTGTTTCTCTTTTGCTAGCTGGATGAGAAATTTGTGGTAGCAAATCAACCCTTTGTAGATCCATGGCCCCTCTAAC